CAGAAATTTTCGGATTAATCAAGTACATTAAAGATAAATGACATGCAAAAATTGAAGAGACCACCAACTACTTCAAAATCTACATCCAGTTTCCAAGTATCACTTGAGATTTTCTTACTATAACAAATAGTACAATATTCATTTACAATCTTGGGGCATACAAATTTAAAAATATTCTTTTAAGGGTTCCTACTCATATATAATATAGGTAAAAAGATGCATATAATGAACTGAAGAGAAGCAAGAAATGTGATTTATAGTGAGATAAATATGTAAAATATTCCTTGAATTTTTCTTGTATTTATAATTGTTTAAAATTTGAATAAGGATTTTTAAAGAGTTTTCAAAGTAAAAATGTAAATAATATGATATAAATGCATAATTTAATCAATTAGAGACATTTTGTTTAGCATTTGCTTAAGTTTAGAACCAAGCTAATCGATAAGGCAATAATCCTAATCAATTAGGCAAATGGCACCAATTTAATTGCGTTATAGATGCTCTTTAATAATCAATTAGGCAAATATTTTACCGATGATTAATCAAAAATAAAACTAAGGTAATTGACTAGGTCAATTTTGTGATTTTTTTTTAAAAGAATCGAAACTCTAATTAATTTAATTCAAAAAATATTGTTCTTAGATTATAAAAATCATTTAGATACAAGTAAAACTTATGCAAACAATAAGAAATATAAAATATTTTTGCAAGGTCACAAATGTCCAAGCTTATATTACCTTTACAAGATATATTCTAAGTCTTAACTTAATTAGATGTCTCTTCGATTCTTAGCTTAGATTATCTATCATCAATTCATATTGCCGTTTATTTTCGTCATTCGTTATTTGTTAAACATTTGTGTGCTTGTTACTATCAAAATTCTAAAATACTCATCAATAAACTCATAATAAATCACTTGACATGATGAGAAGTAGAATTAAATCTTCAAGGTATTTCTGTTTAAAAATTTTCTTAGAAAAACTTTACTTTAAGAATTTGTTCTCACAATTCATCTATAAAAATTGATTTAATTTATCTAAAAGATAAAAATAATATAAAGTAGGAAAACAGAAAAAAAACCTTCATTGTTATAATTCAAAGAAAAATTATGAAATATTTTATTTTTAATAATAATAAACATATTTTTCTTTTTTATACTTCACTTTATTTTAAATAAAGTTAATTCTAATTTTATATTTTATATATATATATATATATATGTGTGTGTGTGGAGACACTAATTACTCAATTTTTAACGAGTTATTTTGTTTTTACTTTTAAAAGATATATTAAATCTTGATTAATTTGCATTAAAATGGACAAGTCTATTTAAAAATAAATAAATTTCTTTTAAACATTAATTTTTTATTTATAAAATTGGAATCTAATATTTTATTTAAGGAGAAATCAGCTTTGGCATAACACATGTAATTAATTTTTTATTTTATTTTTACTAAATTAAAATTCTTGTTGAGTAAGTGAACATTCATTATTATTTTTAAAATATCTTCATTAGTTAGTAATATTAGTGTAACATTCTCTTTTTCTTTATTATTTGATGAATTGTTAAATATTGAGTATTGCCAGAATATGTTCTAATTTAATTGGATGAGTGTTTGATGGAGGTCTAACGTAGGGAGTCTTACTTAGGTAAGATAAGTCTCGCTTAGGCAAGATAAGTCTTGCTCAAGCAAGACTAAGCATCCAAAATCATATGATTTCAAGGTAATTTCACTCAGGCGAGAATGGGTCTTTTTCAGGCAAGACAAGATAGACTTGACTCAACTATCTTCTTGCTCAGAGAAGAAGTCATCTCGCTCAAGCGAGAAGAGATCTTGCTCAGGCAAGATGAGTTGCCCAAGCAAGAACTCACTGAAAAAATGACCAACTCTCAGGACTCCTTCTTGCTTAAGGGAGAACGACCCTCGCTCAAGCGAGAATATTAAAAAATTGAGAAAAAAAACTCTCTGTGTGATTTTCTCATCTAGGCAAGAGACGACTCACCCAGGTGAGAATGACCCCATTTAAGCAAGAGCGCACGAGCTGAAGGGTATTTAAGGGATTTCAAGCATGAAAATATTCATTATTCATTTCAAGTTACGTTTCCTTTGAATTTTCTCTAAACTCTCACCACCTTTCCTTAGATAAAACCCCTCTAAACCTCAATTGTTTCTCAAATGCGAACTAGGATGTCCAATCCGATTGACTTCAAATAAGTCCCTTGGAGCTCAACTCTCTAAATTTATTTCAATTTTTTATTTTCTCTTTTCTCAAAAGTGTTCTATTTTAAACATATGTCGGAAGAGCCTTGTTCTTGAAGGGATATTCTTCATAAATCTCCTTACTAATCTTCATCCCAATGTGAGGAGAGCTCTATTTTGTTTTTTTGAACATAACAAATATTTTGTACTAACAAGAGTATTATTATGTGTTTATTGCCTGTAACTTTATGATTGAATGCTATTTAATTAATGTAGAATGTCTAAAGTGTATATTGATTGATTGAGATGTTGTGTTGAGTTCATATGAAATACGTGATGAGCATATAGTTCAGGAATGATATGAATGAATTTGACACTTTATCTGAGTTATATTTGATTATGATGAAAGCCTGATGATGTATAATGATTGATTGTGGTATATTAGTGCATTATTTTACATTATGTATGATTTGGACTTAGTTTGAAAGTGCTTTACTAAGCACAATCTTTTAGTTAGATAACGAGAATGATGTGAAAAGGATTTGGGATAAGTATAATGTGATGAAAGGAATTAGTGTGAATAGTTACAGAGATATACTGGAGATACAAACTTTATCTAACCAATTTGCTAATTTAAATTTAAATTTAAAATTTTTTATTTATTTAAAAAATTTAAAAATAAAATTTAATTAATATTTTTAAAAAATACAAAAAATAATAAATTAAAATAATTTCAATTTCTTTTTTTTTTTTTTGCATTTTCTATAGTAAATTATTTGGTTTATTTTTATTATTTGATTTGTATAAGGTTTGTTTGTTCCCTCACACATCACTAATCATGCATAACATGAGCGAGACCCTATACCTGGGGTTGAGTAAACTTTAGGTTTAGAAAAGTTATGTAGTGATAGCAATCTGGATGAACGTCCTATTTGTCTATCACAAGAACTTCAGCTAGAGTTTATCTTATCTATATAAGTCCCTACATCTAGTAGACTACCTACTGATTGAGGATGACTTTATGGAATGGATTTTAACACTAGTGACCTTTTATCTTTAGGCTTACAAACCACCCAAGGTAAGAATGCATGTCGTAAATCATTAGGTTAGAATTTTAGGAACCATGATAGAACACCGTGGGAGCATATTATTTTATTATCTTACTACATTTTTTTATTATTTATTATTATTTTGTGAGTTGGAAAAATCATTGATATTATATTATTCATTTTACTCATGGTGCTGCTCAAAATCACAAATTCCATTGTTTAGAACGCTTTTCTAATTTTATTTTTATTTTATTTTCAATATTTTTAAATTTTTTTATTTTTGATTTAGGACAAAAAATTCACAAAAAAATAATTTTTTTTAAAAAAATTATTAAAAATAGAATATAGAGCAATTAGATTCACTTTGACTTTGTTGATCTTGTTGATTTCGACCGATCTGCTTCTTGGTGCATGACTAGAACTAATTCTGGTCAATTACTCATATTTGATCTTGAGATTGAACGCATTTAGAACATGTTGAATAGACTTAAATTGGAAGGTAATATGCATAGTCATTGTAGTGATGCCCTTAATACCCTTGATAGTGTTGGTGTGCACCCTAATTGTGAGCATTCTAATTGTGATCATTCTGATAGTATATTTATGCATTCTGATATTATGGCTAATAATCAACACGAAAGAACTCTTAAGGAATTGGCTGCACCAGATGTCACATACCAACCCTAAGGCATCCAATATCCTAATGTAGATACTTCATTTGAGTTAAAATCTGGTTTAATCCATTTGTTGCCTCAGTTTAATGGTAGTGCAGGTCAGGACCCTTATAAGCATTTGAAGGAGTTTCACATAGTCTGTTCAACAATGAGGCCTCAAGGAGTTCTAGAAGACCACATCATATTGAAGACTTTTCCATTCTCCTTGGATAGTGCAGCGAAAGATTGGCTATATTACCTGCAGCCAGGATCTGTCACTTGCTGGATAGACATGAAGAGGATGTTCCTAGAGAAGTTCTTCCTTGCTTCCAAAGCAGCCACAATAAGAAAAGAGATCAGTGGCATCAGACAGTTTAGCCAAGAAAGCCTCTATAAGTATTGGAGAGATTCAAGAAGCTATACGCAACCTGTCCACACCATCAGATCAGTGACCAATGCTTATTCAGTACTTCTATGAAGGCTTTGCTCCAATGGAGAGGAGTATGCTTGATGCAGCAAGCGGTAAAGCTCTCATGAACAAGACACCATCTGCAGTCAGAGCACTAATTGATAACATGACAGAGAACTCTCAGCAGTTTCATACAAGAGCCATGGCACCAATGAGAGAGGTGCATAATGTGCAACAACTAACCTATATGGCAGCAAATTATAGCAGACTTGAGAGCAGAATTGAGGAGCTCACTACTTTCATGAGACAGCTAGCTATTGCGCAACAAACTGTTCCACAAGGAGGGCTGACCAGAGACTATCATATTTGTTCCTCCATAGAGCACACCTTAGATTGTTGTCCTTTGCTGCGTGATGGTAGCCAACAAGCCTTTGTCCACGAAGTTTTTGAGGGAGACAAGACCAATACAGAGCTTTGAATTTCCAACAACCTCAGAGACAACAATAGCCATACAAGTTCCAGTACCAATCTCATAATCTTGCCTTCAATGATCATTCAAATATGAGATATGGTACCTCTGAGCCGCAACAGACTAGCCAAACAAGTAATGGCTATAGACCACCCCCTATGAGGCAATAGCAAAACACAACAAAGTTCTGAGCCTTCATTAGAGGATTTGGTCAAACAAATGGCCAAGAGAAATCTGCAATTCCAACAGAATGTCAATGCCTCCATTCAAGACCCACAGACACAGATTGGTCAACTTGCTACCACTGTAAACCAATTTAAGTCTCAAGGTTCTGGACAACTCCCTTCTCAACCAAAGGTAAATCGTAGAAATGTGAGTGTCAGGAAACTAGAAAGATGAAGAGGTACAAGATGATGTGAAGGTAGAGAAGCAGCAAAACATAGAGAACCAAACTGCCCCTAGCAGTTCAAAAATTATGCAGAAACCACCCCTTCCCTTTCCAAACAGAGTGGCCAAGCCAAGGCCACCAATAGACTTTGATAAGGAGCTTTTTGAGACATTCAGAAGAGTAGAAGTGAACATTTTACTGCTGAATGCGATAAAACAAATTCTAAAATATGCAAAGTTCCTTAAAGAGATATGCACTAACAAGAGGAGACTGAAAGGGGATGAAAAAGGATACTGGTACTTTTAATCTCTTGCACTATTGGGAATTCAACCTTCGGCAATGCATTACTTGATCTTGGTGCTTCCATAAACGTGATGCCTACATCAATCTACAGGTCTTTGAGTCTCAACCCTCTAAAGCAAACTGGTGTAGTCTTTCAATTGGCAAATAAGAGCACTGCATTCCCTACTGAAGTAGTAGAAGACGTGCTAGTGAGAGTGGATAAGCTAATATTCCCTGTAGATCTCTACATTCTAGATATGGTAGAAGAGTCCAACATGCGTACACTGATCCTTGGTAGACCTTTCTTGAAAACAATAAGGACAAAGATTGATGTTCACTCAGGAATTCTATCCATGGAGTTTGGAGACGATGTTATGCAGTTCAACGTCTTTGAGGCCATGAAGCATCCATTAGAGCTGCATAGTGCATTTTATATAGATATTATTGATGTTTTAACTAAGGAGTTTTGTACTGATTTTTCCGATATTTTTAGTTGTACATGCACTCTAAGGGATTTGTGTAAAGTTTGTGCTGAAATATATGCATATTTAACAGCTGATTATGTTTCATGTGGTGCAATAGCATGTTTAGAAAGCTCTAGCTTGCTTACAGGAAGTACACATACCCTTGAACCTGCTCAGATGCATGTTGCAGAATTAGACTTCTCCACCAGGACACTTTCCTTTATTATGCAGCCACCTACACTCAAACTGAAGCCTCAGCCTAAACATTTGAAGTATGCATTTTTTAAGGCTAATAACAAGCTGTTAGTGATCATTTTAGCAGATTTGGATGCTTCACAAGAAGTGAAGTTGTTGCAAACTTTAGCAGCCCACAAGCAAGCAATTGGGTGAATTTTGGCAGATATTTCAAGAATTAGTCCATCCACTTGTATGCGCAGAATTCTACTGGATGAAGATGCAAAACCTATGAGATAGCCCCAAAGAAGGCTGAATCTCATACTCCTATAGGTGGTGAAGAAAGAAGTTGGCAAACTGTTAGCTGCTGGCATGATATACCCGATCTTCGATAGCAAGTAGATAAATCTGATCCATGTTGTACCCAAGAAGACCGACAGAAAAGTCACAAAGAACCAGTTTGATGAGCTGATTTTGACCAGAATTCAGAACGGATGGCGAGTCTGTATTAATTGTAGGAAGCTGAATCAGGCCACTCGCAAGGACCACTTTCCCCTACCTTTTATTGATTAGGTCTTAGAGCGGATGGCAAGGAAATCCCATTACTGTTTTCTAGACGAATTTTCTAGTTACTTTCAAATACACATAGCCCCAGAGGATCAGCATAAGACTATCTTCACTTGTCCTTTTGGTACCTTTGCTTACATACGAATGTCATTCGGACTATGTAATGCACTTGACACTTTTCAGAGATGTATGATAAGCATTTTGTAGACTTCCTAGAGACCTCACTTGAAGTATTCATAGACGACTTTACTGTTTATGGGTCTTCATTTGATGCATGTTTAGATAGCTTGTCTAGAGTATTAGATAGGTGCATACAGTTTAATTTGGTTTTAAATTATGAGAAATGTCATTTTATGGTGACTAGAGGGACTGTAGTGTCAAGTAGGGTATTGAGATTGAAAGAGCCAAAATTGATGTAATTGTTTCTTTGCCTTAGCCTACTTCTGTGAAAGAAGTGCGCTCTTTTCTTGGCCATGCAGGTTTCTATAAGTTCTTCATCAAGGATTTCAGCAAAATCACATCCCCATTATCTACCCTTTTGCAGAAAGATACTGATTTCATCTTTGATCAAACCTGGAAAAACGCTTTTGATGAGCTGAAGAGGTGCCTCACCTCTACTCCAATCATTCAGCCTCCAAGTTGGGAGATTCCATTCCAGCTTATGTGTGATGCTTCAAATTTTGCAGTTGCTGTTGTCCTTTGTCAAAAAGTGGAAAAGCAACCCCATGTCATAGCCTATGTTTCTCAAACATTGGATAAAGCACAAGCAAACTACACCACTACAGAAAAAGAACTTTTAACCATTATTTTTGCTTTAGATAAATTTTGTTCATATTTACTTGGCTTTAAAATAATTGTCTTCTCTGATCATGCAGCTTTGAGGTACTTGCTTAAGAAGTTAGATTCTAAACCGAGACTAATTCTCTGCATGCTTCTTCTGCAAGAGTTTGACATTGAGATTAGAGATAGAAGTGGTGCAGAAAACTTAGTGGTAGACTACTTGAGCATAATTCAGCTGCCACTGGAGGATCTCCCTATTAGAGATACCTTTCTTGATGAGCAGCTTTACCACATTGAACGGCATGATCCTTGGTATGTAGACTTGGTGAATTATTTGGTTACCAAGGAGATTCCTACATAATTTTTCAAAGCTCAAGTTGCCAAGCTGAAGAGTGATTCCAAATACTATATTTGAGATGATCTATACTTATGGAAAATGTGCAGTGACAAGATTATCGACGATGTGTGCCTGAACCTGAGTTCTAGTCTGTGCTTAGATTTTGCTAATCCTTGGCTTGTGGTGGACACTTTGGACCTCAACGTACAACCCAAAAGATTTTAGATTCTGGACTATATTGGCCTACCATGTTCCAAGATGCACACAACTCATGTAAGACATGTGAGTGATGCCAAAGGATTGGAAACATCTCGTGCCGAAATAAGATGCCCTAACTACCTCTCCTTTTCTGTGAGGTGTTTGATGTATGAGGCATAGATTTTATGGGTCCCTTCTCTGTTTCATTTGACTATACCTATATTTTGTTAGCAGTGGACTATGTTTCCAAGTGGGTGGAGGCAAAGGCCACTCATACTGATGATGCTCGTGTTGTTTTAGATTTTGTAAAATCACATATTTTCTGCATGTTTGGATTTCCCAGAGCATTAATCAGTGACCAGGGATCACATTTTGCAATCACATAATGGCTACCTTACTTCAGAAGTTTGAGGTTATGCATAAAATTTTCACACCATACCACCCTCAGAATATCAGACAAGCAGAGATCTCGAATCGGGAAATAAAGCAAATCCTGAGGAAGACTGTCCAACCCAACAGAAAGGATTGGAGTCTACGCTTGGAAGAAGCTCTGTAGGCTTACAGAACCACTTACAAAACACCCATAGAAATTTCTCCTTATCGGGTTGTTTTTGGCAAGGCATGTCATCTACTAGTAGAAGTGGAGCATAAGGCATTTTGTGCGATCAAGCAATGTAACTTGGATATAGGGGCAGCTGACTCACATAGGAAGCTTCAAATACAAGAGTTTAAAGAGATTAGTAAAGAAGCATATGAGAACTCTAACATCTACAAAGAGCGCACTAAGGTTTTTCATGATAAGCTAATAGAGCATAAAGAGTTCCACATTGGTGACAAAGTCCTTTTATATAATTCTAGACATAAGTTGATGCCTGGTAAATTAAGATCTAGGTGGGATGGTCCATTTCTTATTATTAATATTTTTCCTTATGGCGTTGTTGAACTTCAGGATATGGGATCACAAAGGAGCTTCAAGGTTAATGGGCATCGGCTCAAAGTTTTTCACAACGGCTTAGAGGAACATGAACAAGAGGAGGCCACTTTTTAATTGGCCACCTACTTCGATTTATAGGGAGTTTTCTTACCTCTCTCTCACTTATTAAATTATTTGAATTGTCCCTATGCTTATTGTGTTTTCCATTGAGGACAATGCTAATTTTAAGTGGGGGGAGTACTATAATTTTGGTGTGTACATAGTCTAATTAAGTGATTATTATGGCTTTGATGGATTGATTGAATCATTCTTCAGTTTGATAGGTAGACTTTGATATCTTATGTGTTTGTGTTGGTTATTTGTGATAGAATATATACCTTGTGAGATTTTGAGCCATATAGATGACAATATCATGTCATTTTACTTTTCTTCATTATATGATTACACTCATGGTTATATGACACTATAACTTGCCTTGAGCCTTTTTGAGACTATATTTCCATATGCTTGTATTAACATGATAGAGGCATTATTTCTTTCTTGCAAACTACTAACCAAAAAGTCAACCTTGCATTATTTCCATTATTTAAGCCCTCTTGAGCCTAATTGTCCTATTTCTTGTGATCTTAGCTCATTTCAAGGCAAAGGTGTAAAACAATAAAATGACCCAACCTTAAGGGATACAAGAACTTTAGAATAATTTTAGGAATGATCATAAAAATAAGTGTGGGGGAGATTACTTTAGAAAATGCAAGAGAAAAGAAAAATTAGCTACTAAAAAAAGGGAGAAACAAAGAAAAAGAAAAAGTAAGCAATAAAAAGGAAAAGGAGCATTGGATCGCTAGCAAAAGTAAAAGAGGATTGTTTTTGGATTGTATTACAATATATTTTTGTTTAGGGAATTTACTTTCATACTTAATTTCTTTAGATTCATTCCCCATTGTTTTTATATCTTCTTTGGTTTTAACTTGATTACCTTTGTAATTTTTCCACCTCCACTATGGTCCTTTATAACCTAGAAAAGTCTTGTTGATTTTTGTCTGTATGTGTGAATTCTAGCGAAGAAATAGGCAATGGGCAAGCTTATGGATGATCATGCTTCATGTTGTGCATTTTGAGTGACACACTTTACCTTATACACTTGAGTGATTGAGAGTATATCATGTGAGGATTCTATCTCTTATGGTTCATTCACTTGATTTGATAAGTTCATTTGTCAATTTGAAGTGTGAAGAGTGATTTCCATTCTAACCATGATATTTGAACTTGATGGGCTTTATACATAGCCTAATTTGTTTTAGGTCCCCTATGGTTTGATTTTGTGATTTTCCCTGGAGGGCAAAATCTTAAGTGTGGGGAAATTTGATGTGACATATTTTAGGTTTATATTTATAATTTTATTTTGATTAATAAACACTTTTTATATGCTTTATTTTTAGAATTTTTATCATTTTCTAGTTATCTGAATAAATTGGGCTTGTTACATGTAAATGCTTTAATTTCATATTTTTGGTTATTCTGACCTCTAATTACTCTTTTGGCCATAACCTTTTCTACAACAATCATTTTTGGTTGATTCAATTGTATTGGATTCTACACATCTACGGCTTCAAAATACATATATAGATCGTTTGATTTGGAGTTGTTTTTGATTTTTTATGATTTTTTGAAATTAAGGCAGATTTGCTAAATATTGTTGCGGGATTGCATTTAGACCCTTGTTATTTAATAATTGTATTTGGATTTTTAGATATTATTAGAGCCTGCATTTTGGCCACTTAATTTACCCTAATCAGAATCTATAAATAGACTAATAAGGTTCTGAATTGGAAAGGGATTTAGACACTTTGAGATTTTAAGACTTGGTCAAAATAAGAATCTTTGTTTTTATTTTCTTTCAAACTCTCTTATTCTTTTCTCATTCTTGTGTGGGGTAAGCATTTTGATGGAAGGCTAAACCTCTCGTTCAATCCATGGAATCCAAACGTCGTAATTCTGACTTGATTTTTGCGCTAAATTGCTCCGAGTTTGTTCACTTTTTTCTCTAATCTCAGAATTGTGATCATAATTGACATTTCTGTTTTCAGGATTCAAATATGAATCGATTGATGCTCTAATTTGACAATTAATGCGGATTAGGTTAAATGATTATTTGATTTAATTTGTAGCTCTATTCAATAAGGTTATTCAATTAAATTAATAATTGAATTGGGTGATTGTTCAAACACGGATTTAAATCTTTAGATACTGTGATAGTTGGAGTTACACGCAATTGGTATTCTATGGATTGATTTTTTTAATTCATTTTTACTCAATTTAATTCTGTTCGTAATTTAATTTAATTAATTTGTAATTTTCAAAACCCCAAAAAACCTTATTTGCATTCTTTAAAACAAAACC